CATATATATAACATATTATATAACCTGTTACACAACACATTATATTTATCAGTTACCTTTGGAAACACAGATCTCTGCTGAACATCTGGTCTCACAAACTCCCAGGAGTTTGATCTGACAGGTACCAAATGGATATCCAATACACCCACTATGTGGATGTGAGATGGTGCCAAGTCTCTTAGATACATTAACTTGTACCTTTCTAGAAAGGTAGTATGAACTACACAGGTGCCTAAATATAAACTTAGAAGATTCAGAGTAAATGATAGCTGTCTTCAGTGATTTAGATACATGAGCACTGGAGATAGAAGGTATGAATCAGTGGCAGAGAGAAGAGGCAGTGACCTCAGAGGTGAGAAGTCTCAGCAGCTCTTCTTCCTAATAAACTCTGCTGCTGTATATTAATGCCAGGGAAAATCCCAAAGATGCATTTCTGTTGCCAGCTTGTCTGGGAGAAACTTTAGGTTTCAGCTTCCACCAAGATTCATAGATAGTGCTCTGTTAGGAATAACTGTCTTTATTAAATGCCTCCTTTGCACAGACATTGACTGACACTACAACCCTCAGCAGCTCTTTGCTGTTAATAAAACAGCCTTTTATAGCTGGTTGGTAAAAGTGGTTTTGTAAATGACATCTAGTGGCACAGTTCTGAACGACAGTGCTCTCCAGAGGTCTGCAGTGAACTGGCTTTCCAGAGTCTGTGATATTGGCAGCTTGTCAGGAATGGCAAACTGTACCACCCTGATTTGATTTCACCAGGGATGAAAAGTCGCCAGTACAACAAATCTCACTATTTGGCACTTCCAAAGATAAAACAGCTATTGTTTCATAACTCAGGGGACAGAGGGTGTTGAGGAGCTTTTAAATATGCATTTGGTCCTGATTATACATTTTGAATGCTTGGTATTTTTAAACTACTGGTGGGTACACAATTATGTTGATTATCAATCATTAGCTTAGCAGCTGAGTTGGTGTGTGATGAGAGGCACAGAACAGCAGATGTTGTACTAGAACCACTGAGAAACTGAAAGGACACCACTGCTCTATCTGGAGAGATTCTTGGTTTCACACTGTCAATGACACTCTGATAAGGATGCTTGCTTTGATTGCACCTGTACTTCAGAGGTCTCCCGTGGTTATAAAGGCAAGAAACCTCTCTACTTCCTTTGATTTAATTCACATGTAAAAAGCCTACACATAGCCACAGGCTGCTGGTGGGCAGGCACACCCTCTGGGCTGACCCTAGCACAAACATTTCTGTCTCTGTCTTCTGGCCATTCCATCCTAATGCAGACTTTTGGTCTCTCCTGTTACTTGAAAACAAAAACATAATACAACTCCTAATCTAAAACAGGTCTCTCTGTTCCAAAGGAGGGTCTGCACAGTTCTAATTTCTGGTTTTATTTACTGGTCTCTTGTGGTGAGTGAGATAAAATGAGTGGAAGGCAACAAGCAAGAACTAGCTGAGGCATCTTTGCTTACGACTGGGCACAGCAGAAGAATCATGATCTTGATATTCCTGTTTCCAATTTTCCCTCTAGCCATGTGCTCAGAACGTTTTTCCTAAATTTTTGCAGTTGATCAGGCATGATCTTTGGAAGCCACGACACGCAGAGGAATTCCATTAGGCTGAGTTGGACATTCAGCCAGTAACAACTTGAAATAAATGCCCTTTGACAGAAGATGGCTATACTTCTAGAGTAGAAATCCACCTGAACTCTAGATGTTTTTAGGAAGGAAAATCAGTAACTTATTCCAGAGTATACTATAATTCTGGGGGGTGTGACCATTTTTTTGTTAAATTCCTGCTTTTTCCCCAGGCAATTCTGAAGATCCTGATCTCAGGAGGTGGCAAATCCCGAACAGGAGTGATGATTCCTATACCACAGTATCCCTTATATTCAGCAGCCATATCTGAACTCGATGCTATCCAGGTGAACTACTATCTGGATGAAGAGAACTGCTGGGCTCTAGATGTGAATGAACTTCGCCGTGCCTTGAACGAAGCTAAGGCATATTGCAATCCCAAAGTCCTCTGCATCATCAACCCTGGAAATCCCACAGGTCCAGAGACATTTTGCTTAATGGATGGGTTTAAGAGCAATTATTTTTTTTCTTTTCCATTTACTTGGCCTTGCAGGCAAATCCTAAACATATATCAAATGTGTAAAGGTGAAATCTAGAGGTCAGTGCTCTAAGTAGGACACTGTGTCATACTTTTAGAAACTTATTTTCATATCATGGAACTCCAGAGAGGAGGGAGCAGGTTCACTTCACCAGATCCCATTTGAAGCCACTGCTTCCACTGAACTTTTGCAAACTCAAAATGACTTTCAGTCACTGTAGGTCTTTATGAAAGATTTTGCCTCTGGCATGGGCTGTACCCTCTTGCTCCTGAGAGGCAACGAGTGTAGATATACTCTGAGTGCACTGGTACCCACTGCCTTCCTCAGAATTTAGGGTTTTGAGGAGTTGATTAGTGAGAAACTAGCCCCCACTGAACCATCAGGCATGTGAGCATTTAAAATGATCAGTTACACACAAAATTATCTTAGTAAGTCATTTATTGATGACTCTATCTCACACTCCTTTGCCTGAGATGCACTAAGTTATCCTGAACTGTAATTCCTCCAAAAATGCTCCTTAATTTCATACTTGGTGAACTGAATTCTAAAGTTCAACAGCATTTTCCTGAGAAAGAGGGATACCTTCTTGAAAAGCTAGTAGTCTAACTAGGTCTGGGTGAGGAGATTTGTACATATATATATATATATGCTCCACTAACTTTCTTCTTGCTTTAAAAATCCAACTATAGGACAGGTGCAAAACAGAAAGTGCATTGAAGATGTGATACACTTTGCCTGGGAAGAGAAACTTTTCCTTCTGGCTGATGAGGTAATGAAATATCCTGTTCTCTCAAAAGCACAGCTAAGAGTACACACAGGAGGCAGAAGTTTGTTCCATGTGTGGTATTGGTGTTTTTTAAGTACAGGGAACAGGTTCTGTGTTATCAGATTAAGACAAACATGCATAATTTTTAATATAGAATCATAGAATCAGATGGGTTGGAAAAGACCTCCAAGATCAAGTCCAACCCTGCCATGGTTAGTAGACCATGGCACTAAATGCCACATCCAGTCTCAGCTTGAAAACCTCCAGGGGCAGTGAAATATCAAAGGATCAATATAACAGGTGTCTTGACCTGGATTTGAACTAGAGAGAAAGTGTAGGGGACACAAGGAAGAACTTTGCTGGAACTGACCTAAAAACCTATGTGATGCTCAGACCACTTGAAATGAAACAATCAGGAGGAAAATAAATTTAAACATACAAGTGAAGGTTAAATTCTACGAAGCAGCTCCCTGTTCTTCCAAAGGCTAAACTTTCAGTATGGTCACATGAGATGAAATGTGTCACTACAGTAACTGTAACTTAACAAAGAACCTTGTGTCTTCTACCAGCTTTTCAGTTGTGAGTGTTAGCACTGTTTCTGCAGTTCAGGTCTGGCTCTCTAAAAGGCCATTTTTTATCCTTAGTTGGGGGAACAGAGCACATTAATGTCTTCTGACTGTTCAGGTTTACCAGGACAATGTGTACTCTGAAGGATGCCAGTTTCACTCTTTCAAAAAGATTCTGTATGAGATGGGACCCGAGTACTATAACAATGTTGAGCTGGCCTCTTTTCACTCCACCTCTAAGGGATACATGGGCGAGTAAGTCTCATTTAGTTTTCTTTTATTTCATCTTCCTCATTAATTGGTTGGACAGCAGTTTCATGTTACTGACCTGGAGGTAATCCACCGACGTCTATTCATTTGAACTAAAAACTATTAAGAAAAGGGAAAAAAAACACCCCAGGCATTTAAAGCAGCTCAGGAGGTTTCAAAGCACCAAATAATAAGCAGATTTATTTCAGACACCTAATGCCTCAGTTCCACAAAGGTGAAATCCTACAGTCCCAATCCACAGTGTTGGTCTCCAACATTGATGGGAACAGCTCAGTAATCACTGGGACGTTTGATAGTACAAATGTTTGGGTTTGGTTGTTTTGGGGAGGAAGAGATGGAAGAAAATTAATTTTCTGATGAGATGTATGCTGCTGCAGCCATGTGCTCTTGTTCTGAAGAGCAAATGGTCCAAATGAATCATGAACTCACCCAACAGAGAAGCTGCATGTGCACCTTTATCCCTGTCTGGGACACAAGGCCTTCCTGACACATCATTAACTCCCCCTCAAACCACTGTCAGTGCAGCAGCTCCTTCAATCACCTCTTTGCTCCAGACTCTGAGATTCTCACTGCCTTTCCACTTCTGCAGTCATTTTCATTGCTTTTCCAGTATTTATACACTTGAGGTTCACCAATCTTTTCTGTTCCCTTTGTCACAGATGTGGCTACAGAGGAGGCTACATGGAGGTCATTAACTTGCACCCAGAAATTAAAGGACAGCTTGTTAAGCTGCTCTCTGTTCGCCTCTGTCCTCCAGTCTCAGGACAAGCAGCAATGGATATTGTAGTGAATCCTCCAGTCCCTGGGGAAGAATCTTATGCACAGTTCATAAAGGTCAGCAGTAACATTTTTGTTCTTTTGTGCATTTCCTAAATCTATCCTAAGCACTGTGAACTCAAAACATGCAGAGACCAATCTTCTTTCCAGTCTCCTCAGACAATCCTGTTATAACACCAATTTCCAGAACCATGCAATGTATTTAAAATTCACTTAATATGATGACATTTAAAAATATTAAGAAGACATTATCAAATCAGCTTTCTGGCTGATAGATTCAGTTTTTCTCCTGTGTTTAATAAGACAAAAAGATTACTAAATCAGATTTGCTCTTACCAACATCTGAAGAGCAATGTAAGTTCAAATACAGTTATAAAATCAGCCTTGTTCTTAGATATCCAGTGCCTCTGCATACTGAGCAACAAGGCAATCTCTATTGGAGTATACAGATAGTTTCTCACTTGTGAAAGTGAAACTGAGTCTGGCTCAAGAAATTACATTATCCAGTCAGATCAAAGATTCAGCTAATGTGGTCTCTAAGAACAGCCAGGAGTGGATGCTCTGAAGGAAGACTAAGAATGCAGACAGAGACTTCTGCAGGTTATCATCTGCCTACAACACTTGGCAGTTGTATCCTGCTAATGCCTTTCTGCACTGCTGTCTTTACAAACATGACTGGAATTTGGAATAGTTCAGCAAAGCCCTGAGAGTGCTTCATTTGGGGAAGGCCTCTTGAAGCATCACAGCTCTTTTATTGTGGCTTTTTTATTGCCCCTTCAAATTTGTCACACTGAACACCTTCCTTCTGACCAGGAGAAGGAGTCTGTCTTGAACAATCTTGCCAAGAAAGCCAAACTAACAGAAGACATGTTTAACAAGATACCAGGAGTTCACTGCAATCCACTTCAAGGAGCTATGTATGCTTTCCCACGGATCTTTATTCCTTCCAAAGCCATCGAGGAAGCAAAGGTCAGTCAGTCATTTTTATTCCAGTCCATTTTAACCTTCCCTTGCTTGTGCCTGTAATGATGAATTTTTGTTCCAGAGACAGAGTAGTTACAAAAGCAGTACTTCATTGACTGTGTATGACCTTAAACACAGCATGACCTTTAAGAGTGGAAAACAAAACAGCATTTTATCACAATGGGGAGGGTTCCAGGTCCAGAAGGTTCCCAAGGACATTAGCTGGAGTTGTGCTGTTCCAAATTGCTGCCCATGGCTGGGTTGGGTGGGCCAGTACCTGCAGAACAAGTCCCACTCAGCAGGTCTGGGACAGAGGGAAGGAGGTTTCCTTACAAGTCTTGCCTTTTTGCACTTGTCATTTAATAATACAGGTTACTGAGCCAAGTCTTTTTGTTCCTAACTAGAGCTCTGCTACCTGATGTGTGATAGTCATTTTTTATAGGAAACTTTTTCAGCACAGCTGAGGACCAAAATAGAGCTGTTTCTCAGCTGCTTATTTGATTAGGTGTATAACCTCTGTGTGTTTAAGAACTTTAGTAGTTATTAACCAAGGGACTTCCTAGTCAGCAGATAATTCAGGGGGGAAAAAAAGTAGTAACTGCCAACAGAACTGGAACACACAGTTCTGAAATTAATTTAATCTTATCAAATGTCAGTGCCTTAGATTTTTCTAAGTACAGTTTTGAGACTTTTGACAAAAAGTTACAAGCAAGTCAAGCAGAATAACGAAATTACCCAAAAGCTTTCTTTTGAAGTGAGTGTTTTGTGTAGTTCTGCAGCTCTGTTCCTCCAGGAAGAAATGGAATTTAACTCACCCTGTGAACTCTCCTATTAGCAATTGTTCCTCACCTTCTTTAGTAAACAGAGTAAGAAACTCATAATGTAAGATAAGGCTTCGGGGAAAAAAAACCCAAACCAAACAAAACCCAGTCATAAAATTCTCTATATGTCAGATATCTTTACTTCAATAATTCCAAAGCACCTATTCCCTCAGGCTCATAAAATGGCACCTGATATGTTCTACTGCATGAAACTTCTGGAGGAGACTGGAATTTGTGTTGTACCTGGAAGTGGATTCGGGCAAAGAGAAGGAAGTTACCATTTCAGGTACAGTTCCTGTTGGTTTACAGTCAAGCTAAGAGTAATAAGCAAAGTTCCATCCCAGGACCTTCTGATTAAACATGAGGGTTTTCATTACAGTTTATGTTGTCTCACTTTCTCCTGACAGTTCCTGTGCACTGGCAGCTAGGTCAAAGGCCTGGTCTGCTAGCTGAGCTCTTCAGGTTTTTATGGTGTTTTCACAGCTTGCTGACATCATTTTATTCTATTTTTACACACTGGCATTTGCAAAGCCTTCTCCAGGAATACAGGCAATAATAATAAGAGCTTAGATTGTAATCTTAAAGTTGTCTGCAGAATTACAAAACTTGCCCTGCATTCTTCTGGGGGGAGGAGGAGATTAAACAGTGCTTCCATATGGAGGAACTGCATGAAAAATGCAGTATATTCCTATAAATCTGCTCTTCAAACACACCAAGTAACTCTACAAAAACAAGATGCTGAACTAAATAATGTAACAGCAAAACTGTGAACATAAACTCTGTTGCTTTGGCTTCCAGTGAATGGCACTTTGCTCCAGCTAAGCCACTGATAGGTAGAATTTATCCTGGAATTTAGTCTTCTTCAGCCTGAAACAACATAACAGAGAGTATCTTTAGCCTTGCCAGGGCTGCAACACAGCTAGCTAGATTAGATATCTGGGTACACACAGCTCCAGGAAAAGCTGGTGTGAGTCCATTCCCAGTGTGGGAGAGGGGAAAAAGGGATTAAAAATGCAGAGTGGGATGCTGCATTGTTTTAATGCTTCTGAATTCAGCTTTCAGTTAAAGAGGGAATGTACATTTACTCCTAAAGCTCAAAAAACTGGGTAAAATTTGGCATCACTGCCCAACAGTGGAAACTGAGCTGCTGTTGTTTCTTACTGGTAAACTTCTTTGCCACTCCACAGAGAATAACCATTCTTGAATTCCTCTGAACTAACCAATTGAAACAAGTTGCTCCAGTTTAATAATATAGTTCAATTACAGTATAAATGCAGAAAATAAGAGAATCACAGCAAAATGGATATTAAAATTACCACATTACTCACTGTGCCCTGAGACTGAACAAGGTCTGTGCAGAGATCACAGTTCAGTTTGTTCTGATAACAAGGGTTGTTTTTTCCTTTCTTTGAACATTATTTTTTCAGAATGACCATTCTGCCTCCAGTAGAGAAGCTGAAGATCTTACTGGACAAAGTGAAAGACTTTCACATAAAGTTTCTTGAAAAATATGCATGAAACTACTGTGGCTTTCCCCCCTGGTCCTCTCCCCTCCGAGGTGAATACAGACAATGAACAAAGATGTGCTGAGAATGTGCTGTTCAGCTAATTTAACTAAATTCAAAATAGATAGAGCCAATCTCAGATACTGCTACAACTTATTGGACTATTACATTTTATGTCTGGTACAGAAGACATTGTTACACCAACTAGTTTTTTTAAGGGGAAGAATGTGAAGAAAAGTGATGAGAAGAGTCAGAAAATGATTTTTTGTGCCTTGATTGGAAGTTACATTTGTGAACTTTTGACTCAATAGGTTGGGGAAGGGAATTGCTTGTTAAAATTGCTACTGTTGTGGGGTTTTTTTTTACAAAACAGAAATCCCAAGATCAGTTGTTTAGCTAGGAATGTGTTTCCCATCTTAAAATTCTACTAAACCAAAATTCAAACCCTACATTATAGGTACTGTTAGGTTTAATTCTCGTTGTTGTTGTTCAGGGTGAAGTGTTCTCCAGTCTGGTTAAGCCTGTAGGTACAACATGGTTATTTAAAACTTGGGCAGATGTGTGCAGATCCCTTTGAAATTGTGCTAAAAAGAAGTTCTGCCATCACAGCATCAGTGGGACAGAGCACAGCTCTGATCAGAGGAGTGAACATGGTGTCTGCTTGAGCCCTGTTTTTGTGAAGCTGAAACATAATGAGGAATATTATCTTCTTCTTCATGTGCTACTCAACACGTAATTCCTGCATAAGAGCACTGAACACTTCCTCTCCTAACAACTCCACCAGTCTCCTGTTAACTCACATCTTTCATCCCCATGGAACACAGTAAATTGCTGTTTCAAAGCAGATGTGAGTACAGTCAGTCCTTTCAAGTAGGGTAAAACACAACACACTTTCAGCACTGCTCTGTCTGTGGAGAACATTTGTTTGAACCACATGACAGACCCACCAGCTGGCCAAAACCCAGCTTGAACTGGCAAAGACTAGCACATGTTGTTACCAGGAGAAGTGCTGGGGGGATTTCTAACGCAGGGAAAGGTGTTTAAAGGAAGATGTCTTGCACCAAGCATGAAGATAACAATAGTGCAGCTGACACTAAAATCCTCCACAGTGCTAGCACTGGCTGAAGGATCCTGAGTGCTTGTTCAAACCAGCCAGACAGGGTGGCTGGCTGGGAGTACAGCTGTGTGACTCCACTAATCTATGCCAGTTTCCCTGCAAAACAAAAGAGGTTTCTGTTTCTCTGAGCTGGAAGCTGGACATCTTCTGCTGGCTCTGATAAAGGGCTAGAGGAACAGCTTTCAGTATTCAGGTCTGAAAGCATTAGCATTTGTCAGGCTCGGGCTCAGCATCTGCAGAGTTTATTCATCAAGAACATCACACTTCATCTAGACTTTAAGTTGTCATTTAGAAGTAAACTCATTTCAATGTCTCCTAGCACTTTGTTAGGCTGCCTTTGTAGCTGGTTCAGCATCCTCAGCTGATCCAGCTTACTGAAGCCAAGGGCTAGAGAATCACCATAGGGATAAACCTGTGCCAATTTCTGAAGTGTGGAAGACAAGAGATGTTGCCAAAACTGTCCTTGCAACAGCAGCTGCCACAGCATTAGCAGTGTGTGTACTGCTCACAGGTCCTTGCTGGAGTCTGTAAATTGAGCCAGTGACCACAGGTTGGTGAATGCTGCTACACAGGTACTGTGGAGACTTGGAGAAAACCAATCTGACTTTCATCCTTGGAGAAATGCACTTCTGGGAGAACAGCAGACTGACAACACTGATGCTGCTATTCATTGATGAATACAACCTTTTATCTGTCAGCACTCTCCACTTGGCATCCTTAATATGCACTAATAAAACAAATCCAGAAAGCCAAACTGTAGTAGGAGGTCAGAATATTGATGTAAAAAATGAGACAAACAGCACTTTCCTATTCTAGGAATGTGCCCAAATCAGATCTGGCTTTGGACTCGTGATGAAGTGTAGATCGAAGCTAAGATCTAACAAGGGGAGCTAGAATATTTTTTTATATTTTTGTAACTACAGCTTTTTCATGGGATAGTATTTGTAATCTAATAAGTCAATAGATTTTATATTTACCTTGCATTTGCACCTGATACTTCTGGAAAAAAATGTAAAGGTTTACAAGTTTCTAATGATAATTTACAGGTGTGAAAGGCTTTTTGGTTTAAGTCGGTACAGCAGTTCTTACACTTTGAAATCAAAATACGACTGCATAAACTGAGTTTTTTCTAAACATTCTATTATGGTGCCTTTTATGTTTCTGACATTAGAAGGGATAATAATTTGTTCTTGAAGCATCTCACATGGAAGGGTGGTGATTTCTATTGTCCATCCACAATGTTTGTATGTATTGTGATAAGGTTCATGTGCATTTTTGTGGAACAATCCTGTAAAGCTAAGAAAGGCTTTATTTTCAATGTCTTTGGAATATTTCATTAATCACAGACAATCCTTACTTTCAAATGCATGCTTCTAGGTTTGATCTTCCTACAGGTGCTCCTTACAATGGTACTGCAGATGTATGAGACTTCCAAATAATAAAGCACATGTTAAAAAAAGGTAATAGTTCTCCATTTCCTATGTCACTTCTTGAATCCTGTGCTCAGTTCTGGGCCCCTCAGCTCAGAGGGACATTGAGGGGCTGGAGCAGGTCCAGAGCAGAGCAACGAGGCTGGGGAAGGGACTGGAGCACAAGTGCCATGAGGAGAGGCTGAGGGAGCTGGGGGTGTTCAGCCTGGAGAAGAGGAGGCTCAGGGGAGACCTCATCACCCTCTGCAACTCCCTGACAGGAGGTTGGAGTCAGGTGGGGGTTGGTCTCTGCTCCCAGGCAACCAGCAGCAGGACAAGAGGGCACAGACTCAAGCTCTGCCAGGGGAGGGTTAGGTTGGATATTAGGAAGAGATTTTTTCCAGAGAGAGGGCTCAGGCATTGGAATGTGCTGCCCAGGGAGGTGGTGGATTCCCCATCCCTGGAGGTTTTCAGCTAAAGCCAAACAGCTCTGAAACAGAGTCATGCAAACAGGTTGCCCAGGGACGTGGTGGCTGCCCCAGCCCTGGTGGTGTTCAATCCAGGCTGGACGAGCCTTGAGCAACCTGATCTAGTGAGGAGGTGTCCCTGCCCA